TTCGAGTGCGATGTTTTCTCTCTGAAAAAACCACGCCTTTATTACGTTGAATTTCTTTGTTAAAATTGGTAAGTGACGGCTTTAGTCTCCTGACAACAGAATTGCGATCTCAAAATTGGAGAAAAATGACGAGTATAGCTGAAATAATGGAACCAATTGGTGCGATATATCGCATGCCGTTCTGACACAAAATATGGCGTCCATCGAATCACCTTAAACTCCTTCCCGATGTTCTCCTGCAGTCCTTACGTGAGCACTTCGTCTGATTTCAGGTTGAAAAAATAAATGGATTTAGTTTAGCTCAAAACCATCAAGAACAGCACGTGTTTGCTTCAGCAACAGCGCCAGACGGGCCCGAAAAAACGGCCTATGAGTACTGGGAGTCCTGGCGTGCCAACTTACCATCCGAGTCCTTGCGAGCCAACTTACCATCCTTCACGGTAACGAACAAGATTGACTGGGTCGAGTGACATTGGACTACAGTTTCTTCTAGACTGCGCTTCAGGCTGAGGTGCAATTAAAACTCTAAAATGTACAAGATTCTACCGACTTTTAAAAATAACCCCCCCCCCCACCTCCACGAACTCACCCCAAAAAATAGGCGCACATTATGCATTCCGAAAAAAAAAATAAGAACGAATTTGTTCAAAGTTTATTCAGAATATGCATATTCTGAACAAAAAATACATGTCTTTCAACCGTTGGGACGTGATGCCGTACTTTGAGCTTCGGCAGACCGCTGATCCTACATGATTTTCAATACGGCAACGACCCTTAATCGGCCTATCGTCCCTGCGGACTGATTATTGAAATTGATAGACAAAGAAGATATGAGGAGTATGAGGAGATCCTATTGGTGGAAGTGGGTGATTACGATGGACAAAACTGCCACGCTAAGGAAAAACGCCGTATGACCCCTCAGGCGTTGCCATGTTTCCTTTGATAAACCGCAAATTTCCTGGTAAACTTCTCGTATTTTTTTCTCCCAATTTTTCAGATAATTTTGTTCGCAATTTCAGCTGAAGATTCTGAAAATTTAAAGGAAAAATGTTCATAACTTTCCTCAAAAATAAACATTTTATCGATAAATATTTGGCAACTCTCAAATGTTTCTACGGTGTCTTTCCTTAGCACTGCAGAAATGAGGTATGTAATAGACTAACTAACGGGAACCCATAAGAAACCCTATAGTTAGTCCATCATTTTCCCTCTTCGTCTATAACAACCGTTTCCCCCGATAAGATCGCTCCATAATTCTTGTGTCTCCTAAGTATAGTGTTTTGTCTATCAATTTCAATAATTTTCCCGCAGGCTCATGTTGAATTCGATAAGAGAAGGGGCATGGAAGATAAAATTGAGTGGTCAAATTCCAGCGATTCAATCCCTTCCACAAAAAGCACGGTCCTAATAATAATACTGATTCTAATATATTAATATAATACTAATAATACTGTATTACCAATATTATAGAAAGTATGACCACTACCAAATGGTCATAGTAATAATTGTTGTACTCCAGTTTCACAATCACATTTTATCACAAGCTTCCTCACCTTCAGGGCTCCATAATGCTATCAAAATGAAACACATACAGGGTGAGCAAAAAGTCCCCGACCCCCCCTCTAACTTTTGAACGAATTGACCTAGGGAATGAAACTTTGGGAATGTTCCTACCTCAAAGGGGACCATCTTTTGGGGGGGGGGGGCAAAATTTTGGTCCCCCCTC